TATTTCTGCCGCCAAACATTAATGTTAGCATTACTGCGTTCTGGTTTGGAAGGGTAAGGGTGCTGGTGATATTACAGACACATGGGACTTGTCAACTTATGTGATACGGTGACGGGCGCAGTGCCCCTCAGATATTTGTGATTTAAAGCTCTGAGTGGCACTGTAACTGTTATGGACAGGCGTGTAGCTTACCATCAGGCGTACGACTCGTTCGTCCCGTCACTTAATATTATATGAAATAACCCAGCTGCAACTAAACTACTGTACGTAGTTGACAGTCTACAACTAACCGTCCTGGGTAACGTACGTCCGTTCTGGACCACCCATCGACGCTCGTTTAGTTGCACTATGCGTAGTCCTATTTCGCCATGTGTGAAATACAGTTTTCAGTTGTTTTACTGTGTACTTAAACATTGTTTGATGATGAATCAAGTGGTCATCATCCTAACTGACAGTCTTCCACCGCATTTGTCGGAGGCCCTTAATTAGGACGTCAGCTGGAAGTTGAAGAAGAGCGCTGCTAAGGGCAAAATACGAGCAAAAACCCATCTGTAAAATCAGTGTAGTATAGTTCAGTTATCCAGCACTCCTTTTACCTGCCAATCCGTCGCTCTCCAGACATTCTTCTCTTCTTAAAAGCACGATCTCGCAAATCTGATGATATCCGTCAACCCATCAGGCCGATATCTATCCACATCATCTACCAACTGGCCTTATCGCTCGTCTTGGTCACCATTCTGACTTCTTTGGTTCATTCTCCGTCTTCACATCTAGTCAAATATCCCGTCCATCTCCACCTTAACCCCGAGATGCGTTTATCGATCAAATTATTATTAATAATTTATTATCTCTACATGACTTATCTTATTTTGTAACTAGTGTTGTGTTGTAAAAATGTATATTAGTATCGTCGATTACGCCTTCAGTTCTATTTTTTATACCTTCGACACGAGTTGGCGCCAGCGCGCCCTGTTTTGTGCGATCTCCTTCCAGTTCTCTGCGTGCAGTGTACCGAGGTCTTTTTCCACTTCGTCCCTCTATTCGGGCTGACGAACCGGTCGTCGATCACTAGGATGTCCCATGTAGGGCCGACATCTTTTCGAAATGTCCGAGCCAACGGAGTCTTGCGGACTTGGTATCCGTGATAATATTGGGCTCGAACACGATGTTCTCCAGCTACCATCGTTTTTCTGCATTGGTCCGAAAATCTTACGGAATCTAAATTTAACAAATTGAAAGACAATGTGTATCATAACTGAATAAAACTTTTCCTCTTTTCTGTCGAAAAGCGATTTAAAAAGGTGACTTTTATTGCATTTTAATAAGCTGCCTGCCGCGCCGACATCGTACCATACAAACGCCTTCGGCGGCGAAACTTCGCTGTTTGTACACCAACTCGTCTCGATAAATAAAACACTGTTATTTACCCGCCATCAGATCTCGTTATCGTCGTATATATTGAATTAAACAATTCTACAATAACTTCATACTCAGACGTGTTTTTAAGGCACACACACACACACACACACACACACACACACACACACACACACACACACACACACACATATATGACTAGCTACCTAACTTTAAAATAATGAAATTAGTACGACATACTTTGCATACACTTTGATAACAACTATGAAATAAGGATATACATAACATAACTAAAAGCGCTTAAAAGACTGACAATGCCTAAAACAATTATCTCAACTTCGTCGAATAGTTTCTTTGTTACCCTACGAAATTATTTTTAAGGTTAATAACATAAAAAGATACATTTAACTTACGTTTTAGATACTTAAGAAATCTGCCTTGCCATAATAATTTTAATTTGGAAAGTAAGTTTTTTAACATTTCATTCAATACGTCCAAAATTGAAATGTTACGATATAGATCTGTTAGATCATAAGAATGTAAGTGATTTTACAGTTTATCGGCTTGACACGGCACAATACAAATTAAACATTTTCTGTGTCAGACGCCACGTGGTAAACCACATGGCCTATACACAAATGTGAGATACAAACTCGTCGTTCAACATTTTCATGTATTATTCATGAGTTTCATACAAAAGACATCAACGTGACGGTGGGACGGAAAAGACAACCCATATACTGGACACGTAACGATATTTTCATTATCAAAATAACAATTTGTTTCATTGGTAATAATGCAATGACATTGACCTTCAAATTATTCTTAACATTAAAACTCAACTTACTAGTATTAGATCATTATGAAAGTGCGGAATCTGTGCTAGGATCACCTGTGTTACAGTATTCCGATCTCACTCGAGTTTGTTCCATAAATAGATAAAATAGGTAAATGCACATAATATCACCTATAATTTTCACTTGACGAACACATTGTAAAAACTATGTATGGTCTCGATTAACCTTATTCTCTAAGAATGCAAATGGCACAAATATAGTTGATAGTCTTGCAAGTGGCGAATGCATACCGGCTAATGTTTTGAATATAATATCTTTCCGTCCTTGTTTTGTCTATTGAAAATGATCATAAATAATAATAGGTCTTGTATGACTATGTGATATGAATTTAGAAGTAATAGTTGTCGGGTGATCACATCGAGCATATAACCAGAAATAGAGACGAAATATGGACCATCCACCCCTGGCAACTCATCAGGCAAAAGGGCCTTATGTCACTTTTAAATATCAACTCTCGTTTGCGCTGAAATCACAAATTAGAAAGCTGAAATAGCGCCAACAACTGACCAGTGTGTACATCTCCGTATATTCCAAAAAGATTCTATATTAATTGTAATAAAGAATCTGGAAAATAAGGATTCTCTAACAAGGGGGGCTTGTTCCATTCGGTAGTGTGGGAAAAACAGAAAAACATCTAATTACAAAACGTACGAAATCATATTTCATCGTTAATTAAATTTATTTAATTAATTTAATTTAAATTTTTCAATTCTCGTTCATTAATGCAAAACTCAAGTAAAACTGATTGAATTGAAGTGAAACAATTGACGACACTCGTCAATTGTTTCGAATTCGGGCTGACCAATCGAAGCACAGTTGTCACCGTAGTGAGTTAGCAGAATAGTTTTCAAACAAATTAAATGACATTTCGGCTCTATTTCTGGTTATGTACTCGATACACTGACAACCCAGTACTTTTACGTCTAAGTAAATTTGGACGGTTGGGTTAATATTGCGTTTACACACCCGTTTCCACAGCACAACACTCGATAGTGCACACGTTAACATTTTCAACTTTTGCGATTTATAATGCGATACGTTACTATTAACTGGCATAGTATGAAATAGATCGTGTTAAATTATTTGAATTTTGCAGTATACCTTAGACGCTTAAAAACATAGGTTAGCTTTTAAAATTATATTTAATCAAGTTAAGCTTTTAGTGCACTATAGTAGTGTTTTGTGTGCGTCAATGAATGTGTCGACTCAGTATAGGCGCCGAGTTATTTAAACATACGTCAGGATTGATAAAAGTTGGTCAAGTGGGTCTTTATTTGAAGGTTAGATGATTGGCGGCATTTCAGCTTTGCAAATGTAAAGTATTTTGTTTTTCTTAAGTTAAGAGTGAGTAAATGTTGTTATATCCATTCCACAACTCGACCGAGTTCGTTTTGTATTATACGAGTTAGTTCATCACACGATGAGCTATAAAAGATTCATATCATCAGCAACATCATAAAATCTGAACCTTGCATAGATTATTCACGAAGACTAAAAATAAGCTAAGTTTCTTTTATGATACCAAATGACAAGGGACAAACAAGTCGTACGCCTGGTGGTCAGCGACACGCCTGTCCATAGCAGTTGTAGTGCCACTCAGAGCTTTAAGATCTGAATTGCACTGCCCCGGCGCCTATCATGCTGAGACATAAGTTGATAAGTCCCATGTGTCCGTAATTTCACCAGCACCCTTACCCTTCAAAACTGGAACGCATTAATGCCCACATTGTACTGCTTACGGTAGCAGAAATAGGTCAGGTGGCAGTACTTCTCTGGACAAACTCTTTCACAAGGAGCTCTACTAATTCTAAAGTCCAAGAACGCTACCTTGTGCCACACCGTATGTTTTTTGAGTATCACTTAATATACTATCTAGAATAAAATGTAGCTAGAATCCATCTCGTTAGATTGGTAACTGTCAAATAAGGCGAAGGTTGTGTGGTAGGTAAATGGTTGTGCCCTTTATACCTACATCTACTTTCCTGTCAGAGTAGGCAGAGACAACAGCCTTCCACTTACTACGATCCTGGTATACATCCTTCGCCTCAACAATACCCATCAGTGTTTTCATACGTACTAGTACCCTTAATGCCTATCTTTTTTCAATTTATACCAGTTCTAAATGAATGTATTTAAAAATTATCATTTTAATTATTTATATTCAAATAAAATTATGTCAAATGACAACTATTTGTGACCCACATTGTGATGAGTATTTCTGTGTAATGTTTCGTAGTGTCTTTAAAATTGTAGTGTAATAAGTAATAAATCCTTAAAAGATTTCAAGGTTAAAGACCAGACGCACTATACTAGCGCGTCAAAATAGTCGCGATTCAATTATTTAAAAATATTTGTAAGCTATACTTTAGCAAAACATATTTATTTTTATTCAAAACCTTAAACGAAATCCATTTAACCCTACATAAAACGATACGTAGCATTCTCCGATCTCATACTCGTAAAAAAGGCGGGAAGCGATTAGCGCATAGCGAAGGCTTCGACGCCTGCGCACGGGGCGGTGTCACGCTCGCGACTGCGCTATCACACCGCGAGTACCGTTAGACAAAGAGAGAAACACGATAGCCTACGCGCGAACGAGACAGCCGCGCCCCGTCCGCGACCCATCCGGAAGCCTCGCTGAAACTGGACCGTTTTCTTTTCTTGTTATTATTGAGATCGGCTCTCAAGTTCTGTTGTTGTCGCGCGCCGCGTCGCTCGCGCTGATAACGCGATGCCACGCCGGGCAGCGCACGCGCACGTCAGCACGCTCCGCAGCTTTAAGCTCGCGCGGACTCTTTGAAAAAAAAAACACCGTACAAAATGGATAGTCCAAAAAATAACAATTTTAAGACCAGTGTTCAGTGACTTATATAAACTTATCAAAACTATTTAGTGTGATAACTAATTGTGTTAGCAAAAGTGAAATCGATACTGTGTAATTAGAGCAATTGCGTATTTAAAAAGTACAGTTTGCAAAGGATTTTTTGGACTTGTAAAATATTGGTGCGTTCATTAATTGAACTGGAGCGGAAGCCGCAGGATATTTCTGTTACTTTTTCTGGGGTGATAACAGGTAGACTTTTGAATTTATTGTTACCTATATTGTTTGCAATAAATTAATAATCACCTAAATTTATATTTGAATTTTTTTTACTTAAAAAAGCGCAATCAGTTAATTGCATTGCTATAGCACGTCATCAATTTTTTGCAGTGATCATTCTAATTGTCACAAATTTGTTCATGTTTAAATGTCAAAGTTTAGGTTAGCTTCTTAAAAAATATGTTAAGCTAACCAGCTTAGCTTAGGAAACAAATATGAAAAAGTAAAAACTAATCATTCCTTAGCATATTAGCTACTGTCTTCTTTTGTAGATTAAAAAAGCTTTCATTGGAAGTTTACGGCCGATTAAGTTTTGTCTACGTTGGTAGGTTATTTTTATGATTTTGATTTTAGTAGTATTCAATAATACTATTGTATGTAACCTAACCCAGTTTCCATTAAAAAAACAGCTTTACTACCATTTTAAACTTGTAAAATATTTTGTTTCTTTTTTTTACATTTCACAAAAATGCGTATAAAATTGTTTTCCCTTTAATAATTACATAAAAAACCAAATAAAAAAATATGCGTCGATAAAATTTGTTCGTTTGTCATAATAATAAAAGATTCAATCACTTCAATGCAAAACTTTATTTAAATTTTAAAGAAGAATCGTAAAACGAGCATAACAAAATGAAACAGAAACTTGAAAATTTTATTTCAAAATCCGTTAAAATGGTAATAATAGAAAGCAAAAATTTTCATTAATTTTGAATAATAATTCAAGAAAAAAAATTGTTTTGACCTAGTAAGCCAGAAAGTTAGTTTGAACTTTCCGTCGCCCGTTGCCCGACGGCAAAATTTTTTTGCTTGGTCTTCTGCTATAGTATTCGCACCTCTCTATATTACATAGAAATATATTTAACAGCTTACAAAACTACTTTTCCAAATATTGGAAGACGCAACGTATTTTGAAACACAATTAAAGATTCAATGTGATACTTTGTGATTAGAAACACATTTTCATTTACATATTTTCAATTCCTTTAAATAATTAGCTGTACAAATATTTGCCTTTTTCGTTCTTTCTTTGTTTTTTGGGAAAGAATAAAGATAAAATTTAATAAGGAATCGCAACACAAATATGATCACTTTAATTAAACAGACTAATCTTAACTACCTTCACGTCACGTTGAAGTTTCATTTCAAAATTACGCCCCAAGATAAAATATAATAAGAAAACAAATTACACAAAAAGCCGCTGTCAATTCTGTTCAGTCAACTACCCATAAAATGCGTTTCTCACATGTACTCAGCTTCTGAACAGACATCTTTCCAGCCAGCTACTGCAAAAAAAGAAAAAATTAAGGCAGACGCATTCGCGAAATTGCGCTTATCTTTTACATCGGCTGAATGAAGAGAATTATAAAAATAAATGTTTATTTAGGTATGCAAACAGTTCGTGAATCTCACTTAATGTTTGTTCACTAAAGTCTTAAGTTATGCTAAGTACGTAAAATGCTTTAAGTTGTTTTCGATTGGCGTAGCCTCGATTGAGAAAGTAAGTAAAGAGTCGTCATACACATTATTTTCAAATTCCTTCGTATTTTTTTTAAACGCATAGTATATCGTATTGTTTGTAAGCTTTATCATTTTATCACTAATATTAATATTTTTGTGAACGTGTATGACGTAAAATTTAAATAAAAAATAATTAAACAAAAATTGTGTAATAAAAAACGTTTAAAATTATTGTAAACAATTTTATTTCATTCACGTTTGACTTATGTGTTTTATTACAATAACAATATCGTAAAGATTTAAATAACTAGATGTGACTATAGTTTTGGATTAAACATTTTTAATATTTAGATTATTTATAACACTCAGACCGAAATTTCTAATCACAAATAAACATGAAACGATTCACTACCACTTGGAGTTACTACCAATTATTTTCATTACACAAAGTCGTCTTTCGCTCTCTATCTTATATACAATTAACACCCAATAATCCACTCCTAATATAGCAGGAAACTAACTACAAGTCGAACGAACAAGATATTATCTTTGGCGTTTGTAACGGAAGTGCGCCAATCGCATTTAGTTAGTTACAAGATTATTAAACAACGTGCGTACAAAATAAATGTATGTACATAATAGTATAAACCTGTAACATGTTCTAGTCCATTTTTCTTTAATCGATTTTACTCCCCATACGGGACAGCAAATTTGACCTTTGTTTAACTTCTATAAAGTTTTACATTCATTGGCATATGATTTACGGCGAAAGAATACAGTTATAGGTCGTTTTACAATCTTGAAAACTACGTTACAATGTGGTGCCGTGCAAATAAAGAATCGTACGAAAACGTTTCGACGGTAGAAAGTGAAATGAAAATGACCTAACTATCGAAATACGCACAAAAAGCTTATCACCCATCTACCAACTAAACTCGTTACATAGTTAATTTAAATCTTCCGAACATTTATTTCATTCTTTCTCATAATACACAGTGCGCTCGTTTTACTTTGAAAGTCAATCACTTTTTAAATCAATCTATTTCACACTGGCCGATAGAAGATTGCATTCTTGGCACAATAAACTAAACTGCTATGTCATCTGTGTTGTGAAAAAAAAGGAAACAAAAAATAATTAGACTTTTCGCTTTCACTATTATTGCAATATGCGTAGAGTTAAGTAACTGACAGACGCGTCTGGTTGGATATCGCATTGGCCGATCAGGTGCCAAGAGACAACTTTCCGGTTGTTATCTGCCTATATCTATTATATATTTTGTTGGAAGAGCTGACATTTTGGGATCAGACTTGTCGGCCTAGCAACTTCCGTCGTGGCGAGATTAATGATTGGGCTAAAGACTATAAATGTTACCCTTAGGTGGAGTAGAGGTGCTGAGTTAAAACTTGATTTAATGCACTACTCGAATGATTTATTTTTATTTTTCTGCTCTTGGCGTTGTCGGTGTAGTGCCTATCAAGTATTTCTAGTATACGCTGACTTTTACTTTGCCAGGTGAAACGAAAGAATGACATTTTTGTGATATTTAAAGTATAAATAGAACTACCTCAAATATTTTAGATAGAAAGTAAATGAAGTTCAGAAGATAGGTGCCGTAGATATGGAATTGTATTACCTTTAAAATTCTTTGTCCGAAACAATTACTGTCAAATAAATATACTCAACGAAATCAAAAAAACAATGAAGCTTCATTCGCATCATGCGTCTTTTAATATGGTCGAGTCGACTACTTATTTCACAGAAATTGTTTCGGTCGGACGGAGAACGGGAATAAATCCCTTGTACCTCACATCATGTAGATAGCGCTTTAAGGATTAACATAGTGACATACGTATACGGTTGAGTATATGTATGTCTTTCGGTGTATTAAATTGTAGGTTTACTACGCTCGCCATCCCTTCTGCCAAGCGTAGCAGATGTGGCAGGTTCTCTTTATGGAGAACTTTGTGTGTTTGTACCACTGAAGCACGTCCTACAATATCACATTTTTGTAATAGTCTAAGGTAAACCCTACTATACAGCTCTCTGTAGTTTTATTTACAGTTGCGAATTTGGTTCGGATAGAACGTCACAAATTTTCACTCTCCGTTCGTGAGTCGCAAAGAAATCGAAACCTCGCCGCAGTCAAGTGAACCGTATCATTATCGTATTGACAAGATAGTATTTGTTTTTTCTTGCTCTTTATGGACCATCCTTATAATACATATTGATTTAAACTGCAAAAGATTTTATGATTAATTGATCTGAGCAATAATTATTGTGAAAATGACAATGTAATGAAATAACAGAACATTATCGTATTTTTTTACAAAATTACTAAAATTTGAAATTTAATTTGCTCGTATCTAGCCGTATGCGCCCCTAAAGGTGGATATCCATTAAACATACTGTTAACAAAAGCTTTATAAACAATTATTTAGTTTACAATGCTTATTACTACTTGCAATAACTATCAGATTTAAATAAACAAGTTACGATTCGATTTGGGTATAATCGATAAAAAAAACAAAATTACAACACTAAACCAATATGGCGGGATTGTCAAAAAAAAGTAAGATGAGAGATGAAAGTAAATTAACGGATAAAGAGTTATTGTCATGGAAAGATTTATGTTTTTACGGGTTGGGTACTGGATTACAATTTATGTGTGGTACAGATCTATTGTTTCATTTTAAAATTATATGTCGAGGCTTATAATATGGATTTATCACCTTGGCTAAATGCGTGCTATGGACTTAACGTTTCCGATAATAGTTTGGAATGGTATCTAAAAATGTTTTATACATCAACCCGAAACATTTTGTTATTTAACATTCGGGTTGCACCCATACAACAAAACGTCGAAGCGTGTGACAATTAAACAATCACAAACAATACACTATCTAGTATAGTTCATCAAAATTCTTATAAATATAGCAACAGAGATTGTGTCACAAAATTAGTCGAAGTAGGTGTGACAATGATGTGACAATCGGTATTACAAAACGAGCCCACTTGCATCGAGCCGCATTTGCATATAATTGCGTGTCATTATATTAGTTATATGCACTCGCATCACTAAGCTATACGCTAAAATCTTCCATGTGATTACACAAACACAGTTAATGTTGTTCACATTGAAATAAATTTGCGACTTTTCAAAAAGTACTATTTGAAACTCCACAATTTTTTTTAAGTTTACTGGGAATATTTAAAAATAATCGAAATGTTTGACCATGTTGCATATAGCGTGAATTAGAATCCAAATTTGCAAAATATTTTAAAAGTTCTTGAAATAAATATTAAGAAAGCTTTTTTGAATTGTTTCAAATTTAATACGAAAGATGACACAGTAAACTATTAGAATAAATCACATTTTGCCTGTAATAACGACGAACTCACAGGTTCTCTAATTTTAAGTTGGACAGTATTAAACAAGACGGAAAAATTAAAATTATAATGCCAAAAACGTCGTGACATTTTTCCGTAAGTATTTTCTTTTCTCAAAATGTAA